ATTTGATTTAGAAAAAGATTCTTACATGTCTTCGACGAATTCATCAACTATACTTTAGTCAGGTATGATTAATGGTATGCGAGTCTGGGAATGTAGCAATGAAAAGAAAATGTTTTATTAAACTTGTTTTCCTTTACAACAGCTATCATTTGTTTTTCTAAGGTTTCTCTAAAAGAATATATGTTTAACGAATATTATTTGCGGAAAGGTTTTTAATGTTTCGTAATAATACATTAGTAATAATTTTATCTTTACAAGCAAGTACGTGTGCTTACTTGTTTCGTGCCCAAGACATCGTCGATTTTTTGTCTAAGACATACCAGTTTACTCAGGAAGTTTAATTTCAAGGTTAATCCAAAAAACGGACTTGGAAATACGGCAGTTATACTTCGCCAAAACCTCTTAATAGGTTAAGAACAAGATAGGAAAATTAAGTGAAGCACACCCGGAGTATCAACCTACGACTGGTCTTATAAGATTCATTCGCTATAACCACTAGACTAACATTGAGCAGTATTTTTTTAAATAGGTATTTTGATATACATATTTGAGACGTGAAATAAACGTAATTTGTTATAAAGTTTAAACTTTGGAGAGTAAGGCGCTATGCAGTAACTAGTTTACGATTAAGGCTTTATGATTAATAATATTTACTCACTTCCCATGGGATTTAATTAAATTTGTAGATACGGCTTCGGCGTGGTACAAGTGAAAGTCTCATTAACAATATTTAGTATTGAAATATCCAATTTCTACGAGTAAACGGACTTAAATTGACATTGTAATATTTTTAATATTAAAAATTATTCTGAAATGTTTAAATAAGCTTGGACTTTATTTTGTAATAATATATTATGCATATGTGCATAGCTGTTATTCATTGAAATTCATATTTTTAAAACGATAAAACAAGAATCTTGATATTGTAAGCAGAAAGTTGAAATTTGTATTTATTTATTATTCGTTCATCATAAACTATCATATTCATTAATAAACATAAACTATTTACAGAATACTGCCAGCGTTAAAGTTACTCTACCTACCACAGAGACCAAACTTTTTAAATTTCGTTTTAATTTTCTTTTTATTCATTTTCTTTTTACTATGTAGGTTAAGATAATTGTAAATACTGTTTAATTGATTGTAATAAATAATTAAGTATATGCTTAATACAACCTTAGAACTTTACATAATTACACTCATTGTTTTCTAAAGTAACATATTTCGGAACCAATTCGATTTTCTACTTCAAGGAAAGAGCAGTGATTCTTAAATAGCAACGCATTTGCAAGTTTTCTGGCCTGGAGTAAGTGATCACTAATCATCAAATTCCCCTTCACCCCCTGTTCTATAAAAAAAATTAATTCGTGGCATCGTATATAACGTAAATCCAGAAATCCTAATTTACTTAATGCAATCAAATATAGCAAAAAAAAAAATTTTAGGACAGTAATAGAAAGAGTAACACATAGGCAGTTGTCGCAAGCGCGAGCGCACTACCGTTGCGACGCATGGTAACGGAAAATGGCTGTTCAATATTTGTGCGCCATGGAGTGCACCGGTGACCTCAGATTTGACTATAACTGTGTAACCCACGGCCAGAATTTAATAAAACAACATTTTTATACATATCTTAACATAATAAAAGAAATACAGCAAAAAGTTTTCTGTTACGATTTTTAATTTTTCTAGGCGTTTGACGTGTTATAAATATCAAAATTGTTTTGAATCATTGTTTCTTTTGTAATGAGTTGATTTAATCACTCCCTCTTATTCCCGATACCACAGGTCATGACGACAAAGCCCCTTCACACGGACGCGTTTGAACAATATCCTCTAATACACCGTAATTGTTATCTTTAAGCTCCTTTGTTGCACTGACAATTCGGATAGCACAATTAATTCAATTTACATTTTGGTTTACGTCTTCATTTTACGATACAGCAATTGTACGTTTATCAATTGTTAAAGAAAGTACTATAACTCCAATATTTCATAATTTATTTATTTCAATCCTACTGACGTCATTCGTTCCACGACAGATCCTGAATCGACCACAGAGTCGAACGGCAGTCATAGGAACGAGTGTAAAAGATTACTTTTATATTTATTGTCATTGAGTTAATATTTGAAATTATGATAATTAACTTTTAATAATAATAATAACTATGGAGTCATTATTTTTCTCGATCATTGAATAGTCGTTAATTTATAGATCTAGCAACATATTACTACAGACTATCAAAAAGTCTGTTAATCTGTAGATTTATTAATATTGGCAAATCAAATAAACCATAAAGCGGTTTTTAACTAATTTTACTTTAAAGTTATTGAATAATGAAAATGGCAGCTGATACCATCGCAATTGCTCCGACATATATAAAAACAAACAATTACACTAAAAGTATAGCCAAATATGGAATACATAATATTTACAAAAAGGTTCAAACATTTACAAACGGGAAAATAAATAAAAAATATTCCCATACATTTAACAAAGTTATACCTAATTTGGCTGTATTGTGTGATGTAGTAAAAGTGAGGGTATATACGTCAATGTGTGTATGTATCATGCTCAACCTACAGGTGATTTTGCGCTATAGATATTCTTAATACTTCATTTTAACCAATAAATTTTAAGTCAGCCTAAACCTAACATCGGGAAAATATTTACTGTTTTCAACCATTGTGCATTTTTTTTTAAACAAACTCTTCCAAATCTGTTCAAAGATAAATTGCACGTAATGTTTACTCTAGTATTGCGAGCTTTTCTTTTAATAGTAGTAATTCCCCGATGGGTCATGTACATTACTGCATTTGTTTCAAAAAATATAATTATATTGTCAAAGCAGCCGATAAGCCTATGATACTTGACGTTGGTGTTTGGGACTTCGATGATATGTTTTAGACATTGATATGTATCGAATTATTCAGAAGTCATAGTTAGGACTAAGTCTTAGTGATTTTGAAGACATGCCGCTTAGACGGTCTCACGATGTTCTTCTTCACCGTTTTAGTTAAACAGAGATCAAATGAATGACGTCAGGATTCGAAGGGTTTTTTACTTTAAAACCCCTGTTTCTTTTATAATAAATTTTAATAATAAGACATCTTTAATAATTTGTCTGTATTTTATATATAAAACAAGGAAGCCTCGACGTTGAACGCTAAGAAACGATTGATCAAAAACAGCGGTTGCGTGCTTTGTTCATATTCTTGTGGTTTTTATGTTCACCCTTCGTTTTTATTTTTCTACACAATACGGTGTTATTTAACAAAGTTCTTACAAAACCTGTACATCATAAACAAATAACTATAAGATTTTATTATGTATTTCAGTTAATGTAACATTATCATAAAAAATAATGTTTTGATTGATGTTGCCTGGTTCTTCATTTTACAATAAATTTATTTTACATTAAATAAGAATGATATATCACTAGTATTTAATATAATTTCAAAATTTCTTATTATATTCATAAATTGGATTATTCTCCTTTGCTGTTTTGTTTCTTTAAATTAACATAGGATTTTTTTAAATGTTAATAATAACCAATTGAAAATTTTCTAATAATTAGTTAGGACGAGACCATCAAGATCGAAAAAAGATATTCACGTATATATTATTACATATATATTCATATATTTCTTTGAGGCTCTTCTTCGCCAACAGGTCTCTCAATTCAACGAGTCTATCACGTCAAGTTTAAGCTGTAAAGAAAATATAGTTACATAATTTTATTGAATGAATTAGTTAACGTATAAACTAAATTTGTACAGTTAAAAGGAATTTATTTTTGTATTAAAGTTACTTATGATTTACAAGTTATAAGTTATCTTTTTATTCTTCGATTTCTATTTATCAAGAATTCACTTCAATATTTATTTTAGAAAACAAATTGGTGAACAATACTTACCCCATCATATTTAAAATTTAAATAATTTGTAAAATTATCATTAATATTCTGAAATTATGTAAACACAAGATATTGAAAGCTGTTATCAAAATTACGCGGAAACTTTTAAAAATAAGTGTTAACTATAATACCACCAGAAAACTTTTACTCCGGTCAATTTAGACCAAAAAATGAGAGTGAAGTTACATAAAGTCCCACAAGCTGAATTTCAGTGAAATTGTTCAAAACATAATTATAAACAATGTCTAGAAGTTCCCCATCATTCCCGTGTAAGGAAAAATTTTTATTCAAGGGCAAAGGTCAAAAAAATTAGTTTTTCGTGATTTTCAGCAAAACGGTAAGTTTTATCAAAGTACCTCAGACAAAAATTGTGGATCATACAATTATCTATAAAAAATGTATCAATACTTTTTTTCTTACGAGCCACCGTTTCTGAGATATAACGATTCAAAAAGTTATAAAAGTTGTTATCGACGACCGGCCGTGACATGCCAATGAACAAGACAGTCCGACTTTTTTGCAACCACATTTAGCACTGCATCCCTTTTTGCAGTTGCAAAAAATAGTGTTCAGCAGTTTTTCCGGCGCAGGTGGAAGTAAAGTTTGAACTGGCTCTAATATATTGTTGACCAACTTCCAACCCCAGTCTGTAGGGTCTTGCTGATAACCAAGCCACACTTGAACTTGGTTATATACTCGAAAAAGATGTTGGTGAGCAGCGAATGTCTAAATTGACCGGGCTATTTACATTATATAATATATAAAAAAATGTTTTTTTATGAAATAATAATATTTACTAATAACATAATAGCTTATTGTGATTTATGAAGTTTTTAAAATATTATTTAGATTTGATAGTTAAAATTAAAGTTTGATAGTTAAAATTTCAGAACTTTAACAAACCAAAAAAAAAAAAAAATCGTGATTTCGATTCCAATGCGTTTCTGTTTAAAGGTAATAATGCGATAGTATTTAGGAATCTAAAGTCATCAGCATTTCAACTGTTTTTTTTAAGGAAGCTCATGGTAGGCCCCCTGATATAACTTCAGTTTTATAATAATAAGAGTGTACCTAGATATTGCGATGGGTCTTTTTGCTCTTTTGTATTCTACAGCTGAGCTTGAACGGGTTAAGCCAGCGCATAAAATGTGGCTGCAATCCATTGGTCTCAAGGTTTTCTCTATGTTTCGTTACGAGGAAAATGATTGAACGGCTAAGAACAAAAATACGCTCTATATTATATAGATTTTTATCGATTTGGTTTTACGAGTTTCCGAGAGATTCATTCAAGAAAAATCCTTTAGAATTTGTTGTTGGAAAACGAATATCTATGATTACACATTGGAGCATCAATAGCACTTCTTCGAAAATATTTTTCCGTTCAACAAATACGTGTGGATAATGTTAAATCATTTTATAATAGTTTAGAGTAACTAATATTAATATACTTATTTTCAAGATGGCTGATCATAGTATTTAAACGGTATTGATTTGCCCTATTTGCGGCATTTAAAGTTGTGGTTAAAGGTATGGTTAGACATTTCAGAAACTGCAAAAAGAAAAAATTATTTAAGATCATAAAACAGTAACGCAGTTGATTTTACCATTGCTCTTCTTTCAAATACGTATTAAATTCATATAAAAATAATTTAATTTTCGCACTTATTTAAGACGGAGACAGAACAGCTTAAAATATTTTGCAACGAGTTAAACATGATTTTAGTGATAATTTATGATAAAAACACATAATTAAAATCTCATTTTCTAAAGAATTTTAAAGAAGATAATCTTGTATTTTCATCTTTGGCATGTTATCTCAAGTTATTAGCAAATTTCTAGTTATTTTTAATTTCATTTGACGAAAAGTTTTAAAAATTTAGCTGTTATGCAATACGTATGTATGTAGCTTTATAATTGGCTTTTCAAATACACTGTCGTAGGTCCCTTTGATAGTGAGATAGCAACAATTTTCATTATTAGTCATACATAAGATCATTGAGAATCAGCCAGGCTTTATGCGAAATGATAGCCAGGCTTCAGATAATGAGCGAGCTCTATTGTCGATATTTCGATCACCTTTATGCTCGTAATGGCACGGTGGAATTGAAATCTGTTACGATTTATGAATAGTATGATTGGTCCGACATTAATCACAACAAAGAACTCTGCTCTGTTAAAAACATTTATTATAAATTTTATATGTAATAACATCCGCCATAAATTTACATTAATAATTAAACACATGGTACAAAATAAAATTTCAAATATTACACAGCATCGGTGATGATGCATGCACTTTATTACGAGTAATCTACCTGGTCATATGATAGGTTTATTAAAGAACATAAAATGAAAATGATTGGTTTAATGTGCGATGTCGTTGTAAGCATGTTGTTCTGGCGAACTTTCATAAATGTTTGTATATTTATCCACTAGTTCCCCGTACATTTCATATCATAATAATTTTGAGTTTAAATCCATATTCATTCATAATGAAAAGTTCAAGTTGGACCAAGATTGCATCAGCAGTTTAGATATGGCATCCATGCGTTCCTGAACGCGATAATAATATACGTAACTAGGTAGATAATAAATTAAATCTTGTCGTGTAACGCCGTTTAGCTTTCGAACCTTAATTAGGTATAGAACTTATCTATAATTTATTATATAATTCTATATATCATTATCAAACACATTATTAATTTTGTTCATAGCTTGCAAGATCAAACCAAAGCCAAGTGGTACTGACGCGGGTCAGTTTCGGTCTGTCTGGAAACTTCAGCTGCGAGGTGACAGCTGACGCGCCTTCCTTTGCCACGTCTATTGTTTCTAACACTATGGATGTAGTTGGTAAGTAATTAAATAACCTAATTAAAATACAAAGCGTTCTATGCAAAATTCAAGAAGTTAAGAACTTCCTACGAATTCAATAGAATATCTTAGTCATATGCTAGACACTAGGGTAAAAAAGTGTTTTCTTTAAATGTGTAATTTAGTATATCAGATAATTATATATTGTAATTAACACGAGAACAAGACTTCATGTCACAGTTGATTACCTTTGATTTAAGGCCGTGAAAAAGCTTTTCCACCTTAAATCTATGTCGTACTTACAGTCCTATGCCACACTTATCTTGTCCGTAGACAACAGAAAATACTGAACGGATTTCCATGTGGTGAAATTACACCAATTATACAATTGTATAATAATACATAATTATTTTAAACGGTTAAGGGTCACCTGTACCTGTACCAACCGGTCGCTAGTCCTTGATAAATTTCTTAAATAACTCCGAATACTTTAATAGTAAGAGAGGTTTAGGTTTTAATTCATTTTATTAATATTTAAAATTTAAATTTGTTTTAAATGATTGGTTGCGGAATCAAGAGGTTCGCGTTTATCATTCAGATTTGAGTCAATTTCAATATAACGTGTAATTTGTATTGAATGTTTAAATTTTTAATTTAAATATGTTTATGTTGTTCTTACAACTTCCAAACGGCAGTACGGCGGTTTTCAAAATTATAATAACCATTCGTAATATCATATGTATCCTTAATCAACCAATAAGTTTTATGTACGTTTTCCTTATTTACTAATTAGGAATAACACAATAATAGTTTACATCTTAAGCTTTGTTTTTCTTTAGATGAAATGATATAATAATTAATTTGTCTAGCAATAGAAATAATTAGTAATTAATATTTATTTATCCTAGCAGACAATCTGAAGTCCATATTTATTATTGTGTTAGTTACAATATTGTCCTAAATATTATATTAGTTTAGCTTTATTATATAATATTCAGTCATATACTGATATATATACCGTGTACATAAGTGCAGATCATTGCATGCAAAATGTACAGGTAACCTTCCCGCTAATACCGTCTTAATGCTGTTAGGCCCCGCATGCCCCTTTCAGCGATACTTGCGAAACATTTAACACCTGCACATCCATGTTTAGGGCTTCAATACAAAAGTTTAAAAAATTAGAATTACTGTTTGCAAGAATACTTTAGTCCTATGTGGTACTAGAGAAAATGACGTCACACGCGGCAATCACGGAAACGTTTCGGTTGCCACACTGAATATCAATCAATAGAATATTCTTTGCAAATAACACATTTTTATGAAAATAAATGTATAAATCTAGCTACTACTCTATGGTAAAATTGTCTCTTGGAAAGTAAAAGACTCTCATGGGAAATACATATTCCAATATGGAGCGTAGAAGCCGCCAAATGAAATAAGTTTAAAATGAAACTTACAGTGTATTATTATTATAAACCTTCATTTATTTTAATTTAATTTAATTGTTTAATTCAGAAAACAAGGTTCCATAACAATGTTAGTAAATTACAGCTTAATACCTTAAATCTAAGTGTTAGTATGTTTACATTAATTCATACCGGAATCATTCCGCATGAAATAGAGGAACAGTGATTCAGGTATGGGCAATCGACTCGGTCCGCGATAATGCGGAGGATACCGTTACCGCTAGCTCTCTCCCTGCGCACCAAGGATGCACATCTCTTGCGTATGGTGGCGTAAAAACAATCCACCCGCGCCTCAGCAAACATCCCCGATGCGCTGCAGAATCGAGGCAGCCGCAACAGCACCCTGAACGCATTATTATATTGGATACGGAAAGCGTTGTATGACAATCGAGTATATTTCGACCATAAGGCGCTCGTATAGAATGATGTGCAGAATGCTCTAAACAAGGTTACTTTCACATCAATTGAGCATCGTGCAAACCTGCGGGCGATCATGTTCGCCCTGACACACAACGCTCTCCGTTCCCTATCTATATCAGCATCGTCCCTGAGGTCGGGTGTCAAAATGTGTCCAAGATATTTAAATGTTTTTACAATTTTTAAAGGGACCCCATATAGCGACATGGGGGGTATACTGGACACACCCTTCCAACCGGCCCCAAAGACCATGACTTCACTTTTATTTACATTATATTTCAAACCATGACTAGCCGCATATACCTCACAGAGCTTAAGGAGACGTCTAATCCCGCAGACCGACGCACTCAGCAGCACCATATCGTCTGCGTAGCTGATATTGTTAACGCACACACCGTCCACGTGACAGCCGACACGCTCGCTGCTAAGCGTCTCAATCAAAGCGTTTATATATAAATTAAAGAGAGATGGAGAGCTCAGTCCACCTTGTCTTACTCCACACTGCATCGTATAGGGCTTAGACAAGGCACCCATCCATTTAACATTATTGATTTGGTTACCATACCAAAACTTAAATACGTTCAGAAGTTCTTGAGGAATACTTATATCCTCTAGCTTCTAGCTTCTAGATTTATGAATGGCATCGTGTGATTACATACCATGTGTTTAGTATTGTCTTTTATTGACATAACTTTTAGACACAGAAAAACAATTTTTTAACCGATTTGAAGTTATGTTTTATTATAAATTTACAATTTTTTTTACATAATTTTAAATTTAACCGACGTTTCGCGTGCTTTACAGCGTGCGTGGTCACGGTGACTGAAGACTAAAGGTGTTGAATGTCAAAAAATATCACAGCTCTAGAAAAAAAATTAATTTAATTAATTTTATGTAAAATAATTGTAAATTTATAACAAAACATAACTTCAAATCCGTTAAAAAAGTGTTTTTCGATGCATTAGTTGTTCAGAGCAGTTAATTTGTTGTTTGAAGTCGACATGCCGATGACGACCACCCACGTCTCTGCAGGCTTGTCTTGAAAACTTTTTTTTATTATTAATTAATCAGCTTTTTTTGTCTGGTTATCACGACTACATATTTTGATGTCTGTGATTCGATTCCTGTTCATGTACAGCGTATCTATCTACCAATTGGTCTAGTGGTGAGTACCCCTGACTGCGAATCCACGGGTCCCGGGTTCGATCCCCGGCTGAGACGAACATCGATGTGATGAGTATTTGGTGTTGTGCTTAGGTCTTGGGTGTTTAAATATGTATTTATATGTCTATCTATCTATAATATGTATATATATCCGTTGCCTAGTACCCACAACACAAGCATCACCAGCTTAGCATGGGACTAGGTCAATTGGTGTGAATTGTCTTTAAAAAAAAAATCTACTGTTAATAAATAAATATGATAAACCAACGTGGCCGGGAACCCGGAGATTATAACAATTAATTTAAGACCTGATATATAATAAACTGTATCTTACAGTGCTTCCAGCATCTTCACCAATGATTCACACCAGCCAGCACTACTACATGCCTGGTGATATTCTTCGAGGCAACTGCTCGTCAGGTCCAAGTCGACCTCCTGCCGAGTTAACATTTTTCATCAATGATATACCGGTTAGTTACTTTTTATACTAAATTTTAACGCTTTAGTGATCAGACATTATGTACAAATAAATACTGTAAAAATATATTTCATTATAAAAGTCCCAGGGAGTCTCCCTTGCAAGCCGAAGTAAAAATTCGAACTGAACATTTATTTAACTCATTGATATTCCAGCTAATAAACTAAGTGTAAAAAATCAAGATAAAATATTCAATAAAAATCAGTCAACATTCAAATCCGAAGCTACGTTATTTTCTTCAAATGGCACATAAATAAAATCGAATACTTTTCTGAACCAAATAGAATTCGTTATTCGGCAAGAACTTCTCAATATAGACTAATCAAAATTCGAAAGTTTTAGAACTAAACTTATTTATGAGCTGAATCCACGATCTGTAAACAACTCTGTTTACTTAGCTTAGGGAATAAACCTCAGGTTTAATCTATACGTAAAGGTACAGTAGCCTTGTATACCCTGAGGTATCGATTCTGTATCCTAGTCATGTACTTAATTCGCAATGAATACTTGCTTGAAACGTCGTGAGGTACCAGCGTATCTTAACTCAAAGCTGACGTATCTGGCAAAGAAGGCATATAACTACTTGCCTATTAAAAATAAAATATCAGAGAAACAAATGTAGCATTCTAATCAGGGATTGGAGCGCTAATCTGTCTGTATTAGCTTTGCTTTAAAAAAAAAGGGTGCGTTTACTTACGTACGCGCGTAAGAAGTTATACCTCTTTGGCATTATTAAAAATAGTTTTTGATTACATGCAAATAATTAATTACAATTAAATAATCAAAGACTTGAAAAGGAGTCATTATAGTCAATAAAGTTCAGTTTACATTTGAAAAATTAAATAAATAAATATTTATTATTATTCTCTTACATTAAGTAACATAAATTCTATTATAATTCGAATGTTGTTTTTAAATTATGTCCAATGCCGTAGCATCTTCCGTGGGCAACTTCATTCTGTTAATTTTGTGTCACGGTGCGCGCGCATCGTAAAATTTCACTCTCATAAATTTTTCATAACGCGCCTCAAGAAGTATAACTTCAATAACGAGATAAAACCCGAAAGCAGAATTTAAATGATAGTTATGATTAAAAACTGCCTTTGAGTGAGAAATGAATGAGAAATACATTTGATATACAAATGTATATGTGTGTATTATGAAATTATAAACATTGACAGTGGCTACTAACTAATGATCTTATAGAAATATGTCGAGGCGTTTTAAAAATTCATTTAATATTTTTACAAAAATCATAATGCCCGTGTCAATTGTCTTGTGCACGAATTTTCTACTCTATTTTTGTATCTGTTTAATTTAATATATTTGTCTATTTTGCACTTATAATAACGTTATTGAAATACTGTTTGCCAATTTGGCATTTTCAACGAATCGAGTTGGATCGAAGAAAAATTTTGTTCCGATTAGCAGTACAAGAAAAATAATTACAAAACCTTAATTCATAACACGATAATGATAAAGAGACTCAAGCATCGAAGGTAGATTGCACTGTTTGCGATGTTTATCAGCTGTTTTTATAAATATAAAATTGTCCGGAAATTCTATCGAGAATCAACCTATGCGTTCCTAAAGCAAATTAACATTATCGTCAAAGTTTTTTTTAAGGGTCCTAGAACTACGCTATTGAAAGGGCATCATTTTTGACTATGTCGAGAGTTTTTGTGCTCTCCGGGGATGACTACAGGCGTGCAAGGCCTGGGTACATACAACACATCCGAGGCTGTTGAAACGAGTCAGTGACTTGCTCGTACTAGGTTCGGCTGCAGAGATTCGTTCAGTACTGGGGTCCGCGGAAAAGCTAAATGTGGCTTATTAAGCGCAAGCTGTGTTAGTCTGTGACTGAGTTTATACCTATACCTTATAGTCCAAAGTACCTATGTTTCTGTAAGTTAAGGTGCAAATATGTCTGTATCAGCTTTGCTTTTAAAAAATAACAAGGTAAAACCCGAATTACCTATATTAATTATTATATACGTATATAATTAGTTACAATTAGAGACAACTTTATGGGCGACACTGAGTTTGGTCGTAAGTAACAGTTCATATCTATAAAAGTCGCCAATAAAAGCCCTCTTCATTTGGATATTATGTCTAAAAATCCTGTCGAAGCTAATATATTATTAAAATTCATGAAACTTTATGAGTATTAAAATAAAACAACGCAAGCATCCCGCATAAAATTAACTTCAATCAGTTTATTTAATTTACATTTTGACGCATTCCGTTAAAACTTGCATAATTAACTCGTCCAAAACTTAGTCTACGCCAATTTCATTTGTTAATGAAATCTAACTTTCAGAGCTTATATAAATAAGAAAGATATTAAATAGAAGTTTGTTTTTTCAACAAAAATGTTATATTTTCTCATGTCGGCATAGTGTGATCAATTCACTTATGTATCCAAACTAGCTGCCCCCGCGAACTTCGTTGTGCTTTAATATGATGTTTTTACTTAGCCTATATTTTTAGTAGTTAGTACTAAATAAAACTATATTATTTCAATTCTTCTCTCCATAAAAACCTTCCTCAGACCACATGGATTAACAAAAAAATACTAGAATTGGTCAAGCCGTCTACGAGATTTGCGCTTAGCAACATATTTTGTGATTTATTTTTATTTGTATAGATGTTGCAGAAAAAGGGTTTCAAATATACATACAATTCGTGTAGTAGACACATTTTGTAAATATTATAAACATTTAATCATCAAGAAGCAACCAAATATAAAAGAAAAAAATAAAAGAAATGTAATATAATAGAAAAAGATCTGTGGCGCTACAAGCTTTTTAGGTCTGGGCCTCATATTTCTGTATCTGTTTATCAAGTAGATGATCAGCTTCTATGACAAGCCGGTTTCCTCACGATCCTTTCCTTCACCGTTCGAGTTCGAAGGTTAAATACGCACATAGAAATAAAGTCCATTGGTGTACAGCCGGGAATCTAATTTACGTCCTCAGGGATGAGAGTCGTACGCTGAAACCAAGTTAGACCACTGCTCTTTTCAATAGAAAATATGCAGAGTAAAATATCGAACTTTTAACTCCCACATTCCGCTCTGCTTTGGTTCCACTCCTCCGCTCGGCTTCTAGGAATTATCTACCCACCTAGCTTTGCAATGAACACTGTTTTTTTTAATGGACCGATAAGCTTCTAGTTTAATTCAGTGAATAGTGCTGTCAAATTATATGTGAGAAACATTTGAATGAGTCGACACCAGCTTAAACAAGCACCGGTGAAGCCAAGAATCTTGAAGATACGCCGAAAATTTCCGACATGTGTCAGACACAAAACTTGTATATTAAATAAAAATGATCGAAGAACAGATGCAATCTGAGACCAAGACGTATATAGAATTATTATTCATAGAATTATTATTTATTAAGCGTTTAAAAATTCTATGAAGATTTACACACATTTAAAAGTCATAAGTCGAGTTATTTAGTTTGAAGTGAGTCGGCAAGTATTGTTCTTGTGAAACACTATGCATTCTGATGGCGACGTTTTAAATTGCACTCCGACAATGGTCTTGCAAGTTTGCTTCTATTTTTGTCGAGTCGTGCTATTTGTATAAAATCAAATACATTCTTTATTAACTTTCGTTTCAATCTTATCTATCATAACCAATAAATATTATAAAACTAACTAGTTTTCTTTCTATTCACTTAGGTCAAAGTAACATTATTTATTTACCGGTAAACCTCACAGTTGTATTTAGTAGCATTTTGTTGTTTGAGCAAAATAACCCTTTTTTTCATAGATATTTTTAGTATGAATAAACTGTCTACATATGCAGAATAACCTTGGACTTATACTGACATTTGTCGGCACTCTCACGTATTTTTAAATACATAGACAATAGACATGATATTCATTATTCACTTGATATTGCTCACTTCGTTAGTGTGCAAACGGGATAAAATTTGAAACAGTCTGAGACACGGAAACTGAGTTAGTTAAATTATATTTCTTTCAATGACTGTTTTTTACCAACATTCAAAGCAGTCACGTAAAAGTTCTAAGAACAATGATGAAAACTACTAAGTCCATTCTCAACCAGCTAAAAATTACCACAAGGCTGTCGACTATCATTTCCAAACGGGTGCTTAGCTACATTGGCCATATTGCCAGGAGAGAACCAAATATTGTCGACAAGTGGGTAATGGTAGGAAGAAGTGATGGCAGGAGAAGTCGGGGTCGATCGCCTACCCGTTGGTCTGACCAGATTATGACAATTATGGATCTCAACATCCGATCGATGTATCACTTAGGGCTTTTCACGACAAGCACGACCTTCAGTAATGTTGTTTGCGAAGAAGAAGAGATGGAAACTACTTTATACTATGCAATGAAGATTTTTGTACTGTATATAATCCTGAAATCACAAAATCTAATACACACACATAACCTTCACGTACGTACTGAACCGAAATAAACATTTCAATTATTAAACTGGCCCGACTCAGGATATCAAGAAACACAGCTATGGGAGAAATGATTATGTAGCGTCGAAAATAGGTAGTTTAAGCGTTTTCAAATGTTGATGTTATAGTCTGAAACTTTAGTTTTTCGTTTAAACTTCGTTCAAAGCGCCATAAACTCGACATATCTCATTAAGTGTGGCGCTTAAACGCTACCAGGGGGTGTTAAAAAACTTTAAACTTTATAAACCACTGCGAAACGTAATTACTTCGTGCTATAACGGTTTCCGTGTGAAAATTAATAGTAAATTAGTAAGTGCGAACTGAAAACTAAGAGGAACAAAGTGTTTGCTTTTTGCTTTTGTTTACTTTTAATTAAACACAAATGTTCTAACTTTAATTCATCATTAACTTTTTGTAATGTTTGAAGGCAATTTTTTAAAGTATTTTATTTACACAATATGTGTAATATTGACACTGGCTTACGTATACACATAATAAGAGAAAAACATTTAGACTGATGTTACCCAGCGATGCCTGGATCCATATCGAACAAAACCTAACCAATATTAAATAAATGTTTCAGTATCAGAAATGGATTCGAAAGAATAGGATTCGTATATACCTATACTATATATAAAAGCATTTAATTTTTTTATTAAATTAAATGCTATTATTAATCATATACAAAATTGAATTGTCTGTCTTCGTATATTACATCTGTAGCATGTCCGGACTATCGTATTTTGAATTACTACTTCAAATATTTCAATGTCTTAAAAGTAACATTCACAGTTTGCCTACAAATCTTGTATAACTCACATTGCAAATGAGGATTTCGAAATTTAACAATAGAAACAGTAATTGTATGAAATGTCAATTTTTAATGAACAAACCATTTTCCATAGAACATACAAAATAATACAAACAATGTAAGCCACTTCGAAACCCAGTGAGCCCTCTCGAAAATTAGGGTTGCCTATCATCCTATTAAAATTATTATGTAAATATGTACTTAAAACCTCTCAAATAAAAACATTCATTATAAACATTCAAATTATATCATGCTTTGCTACTTAGGAAAATATTGTGTACTATAAAATATATTGCATTAGTAAACTAAACACTCGTTATCGAGGAGGATCGTAATTTAAATTGGCTTTGTTTTTAGTACATTCTTGACATTTCTAGGCATAGTAATTTTATAGAACGTAAACCAATCGAATTTAACTATAATGGTGCGAGAAACAGTCTTATAAATACTGAATATTAATTAAACTTTTAATCTATATGAACAAAATGAATCGCAAAATATGTTGCTAAGCCCAAAACTCGAATACGGCTGAACCAATTCGAGTGTTTTTTTATTTATTCATTTAACTCTGAGGAATGATTTTAAGGAAAGAAAATGGGGGCACGTAGAGTAAACACAAATAATAAAAATGGATTATTATATGAATTTCATATTTAACAGCCATTTAAAAAAAAAATTACAAGCATTTTAAATATATTGATTGTTAAAGAAACAAACGTACGTTACTACGTCAATAAATTTAAGAAAGGAGCAACCCTACGCATAATTTGCAATTTATTTTATTCCATAAACAGAATATTTGATGAGACTAATTTACAAATTTCGTGTAATCATACATTTATTATTTCTTCAAAGGGCTGTAATTTGGCGAAAATATTTGCTATGAAAATTGAGATTAATTTATTACTACTACTGCGAGTACTAACAATATCCTGATGGTTATAGGTAAAGCCGAATGTGCTGTTTTGAGACATTGGGTTCATATACATGCCCGTGTACCTGGTGCCTCGAATCAACGTAGATATATGAATTAAATGTTTTCTTCTTTGTGTCTTTAATAATTTTGCTCATTTTAATTTTAATTTTACTAACATAGTTATAAGTATTACTTTATTAACAATATATATACTTTTTAATGGTCTGAATTATATGTTTTTTTTTATATAAATGGTTCATGGTATCGATGCATCATACAAATGTATTTCAATTCATTTTCATATTACATTACATTCATAAATTATACCAAATAAATGTATGTCCATGTTAATTCATAATTTATTTCACCAGGTGACACCAGGTCTCCATAACTCCCAGACAGCGAGCGATGGTCTTTTCTTTTCGGAGTTGTTCGTGCAGGTCCATCTCTGGCCAGCACATTATGAGAGGGGAGCCCCAATTCTCCGTTGTGAAGCCAAAGTTGCAGATTTGTATAGAGAGAACTCAGCTGTTGCGCTGTACTCTGCTAATAGTGACCCTAAGATAGAAAGAGGTAAGAGATCTATAATTTATCCATCTATCGAAGCTTTTAATCTTTAAGTGTAATTCTCAGAAGTGACTTTATTTTTGTATTTATTGGTACTGGAAACCGTATAAAAAACTGTAAGTTTTTTACTATATTGCGTTCATACCGCACGAGCCGAAATTCCTGGTTTCATTCCATTCCTCGATGGCTAGAAGTCTTCCACAGTCCGCTACTTTATGCTTCTTCTCTGCTTCCTTTTGTGAGCTAGCGAGATTTACCTTTAAACTTTTACAAAAAGGGCTTTCTCCTCTCTAAAAGCCCGGTAACGGCCATGGGCAGCTACCTATTATGGCCTCTTCATAGACACGTTTTTATATTAATAAAAATATGTTTACGAAAAATTACGCATATCAAAGGAACATAAGACCCTTATGACCGTATAAAGTCCATCATTGAACATTCTCAGTGGACCATGCGGCAGGAAATGCAATAAGATTAATTGAGGGGTCATTGAGACTGTGTTATGGCCTCAGGGGTCATTTGCAAAGACAATTTCCTTTGGGCCACAGTGAATCGTTATTTAGTCTTGTGATGAGATTGATCGGGTTATAGCATGGTAATAATTGTAACTATGCATGTTATATTGCAATATTATTATGTATAAGATTACTTGTGATATAAAGAAATAAAATCTTAGCTAAAAAGCATTTGTTATTCATTAATAATTCAAGATATTATTTTAACCTATTTTTTTAAAGCCTTAATTAGACTTTAATGTGTGTGATACAGTTGAAATTGGACGTAAATATTATGATTCGAGGAGGATGATCTATTTGGAGAAGTTTGCTAAATTTTGTATGGTTGTAAGTTTGTCCTTAAATTTTTCAGAAATTAATACGTAATGTGTCACGCGAAATGACGTCAACATAATATACAATTTTTTTAACGTGTATTTTATCAAATAATACTTTCTTCTCACAGAAGATGGAACTAAAATGTATACAAATTTTTCAATGGCGTGTTTTGTTGCATAATAACATTTAATTTAATTAATTCGCTTCTTTACATTACATTTATAGAAATGTAACCTGTTTTAACCCTGCCAAAAGGAAATATAATTTAAATATAAATTAATTATTAATATTTTCAAATAAGAATGTCTTCTTTTGTAACTATTCATTTTAAATAACTAAAAAAATCTTTAAAAAAACTTGATTTAAAATAATGGCGGAGAGTTTATTACCGTTCTTGTCCGTTCTAAGCTCTTGATTTGAGAACTGGCAGTATTGTATTACCTTTGAATAAATTGTATTTTGATACGATATGTTTTCTATATATTAAAGTCGATAGGTTATTGAAATTCACAACAATACGCGAATAAGGCATTCAAAAATCAATTTTTACCTACGATAATATTTTTTCAGTTACATCACCGGGAGCTGGAACCAAGTTGCAAGTGTGCCAGATATTAATCCTTCTATGCATCATGTCAGCTAACAGTACATAGATTTAAGTAGAAACGAGTTTTATCCTCAGAGAAAATATATAGTCAAGATAATTAAATTTCATTTATTATGTAATATACTTCTTAAGTAACGTATGAATCGACTGTATATTTCCCTCCTTATTCATTAAAACTAAATCGAATGGATCCGTTTCAACTACACTGTCTCTTTTTATCATAGCGTTGACATACTTTGACAGAAAGAGCCGAAATAGTATTTTAGCTATGAGTGCTATACAGATTTAGTTTTTATGAATAAGGGGGTACGAATCTATACTTTACTGCAAAAAAGGATTTGACACATAAAGGCTGCATATATAATTAATTCCGGCAAAAATTTGGCTATAGAAGTCGCCTTTAGTAGCTCGCATAGACAACTCATGTCGTGTTAAATTGTGAGACTAATTTATCTGTCAAACTATGTGATTAGTCTCTAGTCTGTGACATTTTACTGTTATTTTTAAAATCTATATCTGTGTAAATATTGTAATAATATAATTTAAAGTACAAAAACACAACATTAAATTTGTTAATATTTCTCTCTGGATAAATCTAGGAAATTGTAAAATAATTGGTATAGGTGTAAATTAGTTGTATACAGTTCGAGATTGAATTGTGAATTTAATAGTTACTGTACCTAAACGAGCTGCTACTTATACCAAAGAATGTAAAGACTAAGATATTGTTGATTTAATACAAATTATATGTCGATATTTGGTTTTATTTCAACTTCATACAAATATAACCTATTCATTGAGTAGAAATCATAAAAAATATTGTCAAATTTCGTAAATAAATCTCAAGCAATATAATATCTCAAGCATAGATTGTTTGTTCTTCTCAAAATCGAAAGCAATATATCTTGAAACCCCGACGACGTGTATATAAGACTAATTTGATTAGGAGGAAAAATTATCTATGAAACACGTCAATATAGAATCTAGGTTTATAGCTACAGTAATTTATAATGTTGTTTCTGATATTAAAAGGTATACGAAATACTAAACTATTCGATTGTCAATTAACATTCGAATGTATAAAGCATTTCCCTCTGCACAGACTATCAAATAATGTTCTATGTGTCTAGTTTATAATTGGTGATTTTTAATGAGTGAATTATTTTATTTAGTTTTAAAAATATATTCCTAATAATCGTGGCACTCACGCACGATAATATGCTAAAGAATATTAAATTATGCTTTGCAAAACTTCTTAGACATAAAAATAATAAAAACTTTTACCGGAAAAGACAAACAAGGATGAGATATATCGGCTATTAAGTAAAACACGTGCTCTATTTTTGAACAATAATGTTTCATAGAATTTACTAATATTTTAAGAATTAAAATTTCGAGTACAAATTCTGACATCAGGTTAACTTTCCAAAGTGTTCCAAACTTTTTAAAGATCCAGTTGAGATGGTGATGAGTTTCGGTTCCTAAATTCAATCGCATTTTATTCGTACCATGACCTCCTAGAAACTGAAACATATTGGAATCGCAAGACTGAATGATAATATTGTTTGAGGTTAGTATGTATGTTATGAAATTTAACTGTCAAACTTGCTTCGATAGATGTTTCATGGTACGAATTTTCATACAAATTCAATGAACGAAATCTGACTATCGCTAAGGTCACGTGGAAACAGAAACGTGTTGATTTTTTGCCGTAATGGTATGAATAAGCGATGCATCTCAGTTGTGGGTTGTCAATAGGCTCGCAATAAGAGCTCATGGTAGGCTCTCAGTTTGTCAGAAATATAAAAATCTATACTACAAATTTCACAATACTACGTGTATATACTCGGTAGATAATATATCAAACAATCGACAAAACCCAATAGAGACCTTTGATTGCAATTCTAGCATTAGGAAAATAACTTTTTCAATAAGCGGCGCAAACGATCGGAAATCGCGGACTCTCCTCAACAATTGCTGAATGAAAAAACTTGGGTGTCCTCAAAAGTTGGGCGTTGAATTAATTGAAAAGTCACTTTGCTTTCACTGATTCGTATTAAAATGTTTAAATGGATTTTAATTGAATAATACGTAAATGTTTTTATATCCAATTAGTTGTTAGGAATACGACATTTTTTAATGAAGAATTAAATTACATACCTAGTATACGCGCTTGTTGAAGTTAAACTTCTTTACTTTCTTACCCTCATGCGCATGAGGGTAAAATTTATGAAATATTAGTATTTAATATTTTATGCAAAATAATTTATTGAAATCTCAAATGACGAATTGTAAATTAAAATGCCACTTGTTTTTATTATCAAAAAAATAAGATAAAAAAATAATAATTATGCGTTGATGCTGACTACGGACGCAGTTTAAATAAAAAATAAATCAGTGGCGCTACAACCTCTTTAGGTCTTAGCCTCAGATTTCTGAATCTGTTTCATGATCATTTTTAAATCTAATAGGCAAGTAGGTGATCAGCCTCCAGTGCCTGACTCACGCCGACGACTTTTTGGGGCTAAGAAATGTCGGTTTCCTCACGATGTTTTCCTTCACCGTTCGAGCAGATGTTAAATGCGCACATAGAAAGAAAGTCCATTGGTGCACAGCCGAGGATCGAACTTACGACTTCAGGGATGAGAGTCGCACGCTGAAGCCACTAAGCCAACACTGCTCTCTACGGACGCAGTTTACGGAAGGGCTATTTGTGGCATAAAAATTGCCATTTTGTGCGCAAATGAGATTTTACTCTGAAACAGCCTGGCAAGTAATAAAACTCGGCTCATATAGTCGCAGAGTGAAAACGATCGCGGGAAATGTGATTAAAAACTTCCCTCAGTTTATTGCGCGATATTTGATCGCATCGCCACTTATGCATCGGTACCCAATTCCGCTACTTGTCCTGCTATTTCCGAAGTGAGATGTGTTAATAAGAAAATTATCCTTGCTTTGTGTCATCTGTTGCTCATACTGTGGTTTAGTTGTTAGTTGTAGTAGTGGTTAGTTTATTATTGTTTAATTTATAACAAAAGACGTGATTACGTAAAAGAATACGCTTGAATTGTTTACCAAACAAAAAAAGTTAATTGTACTTAATGAACTGATAGTCGCTCTTCAAGCAGGAGGATACAGCATATCCGTTGATATACAACAATTTATATAAGATTAAATATTATTTTTAATTACATAAGCGTTACTTTCAAAAGTTAAAAGTCAAAACTCATCTCATATAGGTAATTCAATGTACTCTTATGAACGTCAAAAAAGAAATGTATATGAAATGCTTCTGACTACATTTAGTGCCAGTTCTCAAATCAAGGACGTAGAACGGAAGAGGAGAACTGGCAATAAACTCTCCGCCACTCTTTTTAATCGCCATGTTTTTTTTACACAACGTTTGTAAGGAGCTGCATCTATTACACTATGTTCCACATGACATCTTATGTAATTAATAATAATAAAATAAATTAAAAACAATGACTTGTCCTCTATCAGCAGGAGGCATGGTGAAATAGGAGCACGCACAAAGTCGAAATAAATAACATCACCGCATACACGAATTCAAATACGACCAGTCACCATAAGTAGCACCCATTCACGAGTATGACGCATGGCCAGCCATCGGCCCACTCGCAAACATGATAGATGAAAACAAGTCTGCAAACTATCATGAATCCATTGAAATTAACGTAGGTATAATAATATTTCTCTCTTCAAGAAGTCATATAATTTCTTTGCAATGAATAAGCTAGAACCTCGTCCAATCTTATAAAATCTGCCCGATGCAATATCAAGTTATATAAAGTTTACAGCGGAAAATATTTTATAACTAAACTTGGTAAAGTACAAAATGTGGTTCAGAAGTTTAAGAGCAATTCGGGTTCTTTCATAACACCTCCGACGAGCCATTTCATTCTAAATAATAAAAATGTTTCTAGAAAATGTTTAAGTGCAGTTATACAGGCTTCGGATATAAAATGAGTACTTTATATAATATGTACATATTTTACTAAAGACTAATGTGATTGAGTTGTTTGAATTGAATCAATTTCAATATCATTTCATACATCGGGAAAGACCTATTGACCTCAATTATTGTAAAACTTGTTGACAATATATCCAATGTTGTAAATTAAAATAAAACA